CGATCGCCGGGGAATTGGCATTTAGGGCCTAAACTCGGAGTTGGGGCACCCGGGGGCGGGGATTGGACGTCCTATCTCCGAGGGGCGGTCCGGGTGTGTGTTCGGGGATTCCTAGAACTGGAGGCTGGAGGGACACCCCGAGGTGACCTAATAAGTGGGAGCCAACACGAGGGGAGAAAAATCTAGATACTGAATCCCACAACCTCGTCCTACACGCCTCGGATCCGGGGAATCCCAAGCGGTGGGGAGACGGTAGGCAGGTCAGCCCAAGCAGTTTCTGAGGATTAGCTAATTCCTTTTTTCTTTTAAAAATGGTGAAGAGGAGGACCAGCACTTCGCCTAAGAATTCACGCTTTCCCAGGACGCGCCCGCAGACTAGGCGGCGGCGCGGACGCTCTAGCAAGCTGGCGCCCTCTCTTTGGTTGCCCTCTCTCTGAGGCTACCCTGGGCGCCGCCATATTCCCTTCACAGTGGGCGGGGCGGGGCCAATGCAGTCACTTGAGGAGCAAGCTCTCAAGTCCGCGATGGTTCCCAGAACCGTCAGGGAATGGTTCCTGAGGTCCACTCGAGTGCCAGGGCCTGTTAGAAGTATTGGAGCTAGAGCAGCGAAGAAAAGGCAAGTTCCTGTTTCGTGGAGCTTAACTTTCTGTTGGGAATAGACAGTCAATGAACAAGATACACAAGTAAACGACATGTATTAGTGTTAAGCGCTATGGAGAAAAAATATAGGAAAGTGGGATGGGAAGGAAGGTGTAGTTCAATATTAAATGGGACTGGCGGAGAAGATTTCACTAAGAAGATAATATTTGAGTTCAGAAGACAAAGGAGGCTCATGCCCTGTGTGCCCACAGGGCGTTCTTGGAAACAGCCCAGAGGTCGTTGTGGAGTAAGATCAGGAGATGAGCAGAGGTGAGGGCAGGATGCAGATCGGGTAGGGCTTCATGCGTAGGGTGCCCATGTAATATGTAGATCGCTCTGGGTCACTTCTGAGCGAAGGATATGCTGTTAATACTTATGCTAAGGCAGCAGGCATAAACTGGTAGCGGGACTGTAGTCGGTGAATCAGAAGGTAAGTATGGTTACCTTAAGGGACTTTGATTTTTACTCTGAGGAAAATGGGAAACCACTGGACAGTTTTGAAAAGGGAAGTGTCATGAATGGATACTTGCTTTAATAGCATCACTCTAATCTGTTGAGAATAGAATGCAGGGGCCAGGGCAGAAGCAGGCACACCAGTTAGGGGGCCACCAGTCAGGGAGCTGTTGCAATAATGCAGGCAAGAGATGATGGTGACTTGGACTAGGGTGGTAAACTGGGGTTGGATACTGGTTGTATTTTAAAAGTAGAGGCCAAAAAAACAAAAAAAGTAGAGGCCAAAGGAATTGCTGATGGGTTGGATGTGAGGTGGTGTAAGAGAGAGTGTTCAAGCACAACCCCAAGGTTTTTGACCTAAGCAACTGCACGAGTGGGACAAGCACAAGTGGAGTAGGTTGTGGGGGTATGTTCATGCGTTGGATTTTGGATATGCCAAGTTTGAGTTGCCCGTTTGATGTGCAAGCAGAGATGTTAGTATGTTCTTGGAAGTCTGAGGTTCCGAGTAGAGATCTGGGCTGTAGATACACCCTTAAGGCACTGTTATAGAGATGGCATTTAAAACTAGGGGATTGGATGAGATCACCAAGGGAGTGGGTGTAAGTGGTGAAAAGATGTCTGTGGACTGAGCTTCCAGTGCTCAGTGGAGCCTCCAGTCCACAGTGGCCTCTTGGCTGTTCCTCCAACACCTAGGAGTGCTCCAGAGTTGAGACAAGAGATGAGGAAGAACCAGCAAAGGAGACTGAATGGGAGGATAGTTGCATTTACCAGGGCTGTGATTTTGCCAGGAGGTGTAATAAAGTGAGAGAGGGGCAAGGGAGTGCTTTTCACTGACCGTGAACTTTAAGCTGGGTAAGAAGGGAAGTGAGTGGGGGACAGTGGGCAGAGGGCAGGATCAATGGATTGAGGCTCCAGTGAGGTGGAGGAGTGTTCGGGTCAGGGCATGACAAAGACCCTCCCCTTGACCAAACTTCAGTCAGTTTCTTCTGAACCTTCTTCTGGACTAGGCCTCGACCTTAGCCCTCATCCTTGCCGGGCCTTCCTAGCTCAGTTTAGAGAGAACCCACCCACCCTTCATATCTGATCACCCTGGCCTACCTTCAGCAAGGATCCTGTTAAGTCCCTTTAGCTAGAATCCCCCAATGCTTGGTGCTTCCTCCTAGTAATTTTACATTCACTGACCCCCTCATTCTGCTTGTTGGCTCTAAATCCCCAGCTGTTTTTGCTATATTTGGAGTTGAGCCCGTTCTCTCTCCCCTATTGTGAGTCTTGACACCTATGGCAATAGCTCTGAATAAAGTCTTCTTTACTGTTTTAGCAAGTGTCAGATTATTTTTTTTCCTCAACAGGCATAACCAGAAATGGTGAATGAATAGAGGAAAGGGTACATTACTGGTAATGACAATAGGCATCACCATTGGGTGGGATGGAGGGTGAGATCTATGCAGAGGTGGAGTTTAAGCACCTGCCAGCCCAGGGTGTTGGAAGTCTCATCCATGTGGATGTTGAAATCACCAAAAGTTGTGACAGGGGGGATGTTGGAGAGACCCGGGAGCCAAGCTCCGTGTTGTGGGTAGCAGAGATGACCACTGAAAATGCCAGTTTAGGGGCTTCCCTGGTGGCGCAGTGGTTGAGAATCTGCCTGCTAATGCAGGGGACATGGGTTCAAGCCCTGGTCTGGGGGGATTCCACATGCCGCGGAGCAACTGGGCCCGTGAGCCACAACTACTGAGCCTGCGCGTCTGGAGCCTGTGCTCCGCAACAAGAGAGGCCCCAACAGTGAGAGGCCCGCGCACCGAGATGAAGAGTGGCCCCCGCTTGCCACAACTAGAGAAAGCCCTCGCACAGAAACGAAGACCCAACACAGCCCAAAATAAATAATTAATTAATTAAAAAAAAAAAAAAAGAAAATGCCAGTTTAACTGCTCATGAGACCTCTCCCTGGCAAAGCCACATTTGTGCTGCTTTGAGCCCCTTCCTCTCCTAGGGAAAGGTTGCAGATAATTTACAGCCAAAGGCCAGTGGCAGGAAAAGCAGTGTTCATTTCCTGAGGCTCAAATGACAGTGTAACCATGAAGGACTCTATAAAGTTAGGAAATTATTACTGAAGTTCTCCAAGCTTCAATTTGCTAATGTGAAAAATGGAAATCATAGCGGGATCTACCTCACAAAGTGGTTATGCATATTTCATATAGTACCGTATGCAATTAAGTTGTTGAACATTTCGGTATTGTTCTCAAGTGCCTATTAGTTTAATTGAACACTCACAGCAACCTTAACCGGGAGGGTCTAGTTAATCCCCGTTTTACAGATGAGGAAACGTTGCCAGGTGGTGCCGACGTTGATGGCACCTGTAGAGTGAGGAGTGGGTCCTAACTCTCAGAGGTTCAAAAGTCTGGAGGGGACAACCTTGCGGGGAGGCGCGAAAGCGGGCGAGGGACCAGTCCGACCTACGGCGGCCTGCGCCTCCAGGGCTCGCCCGCATCGGCGGCCAATGGCTCCCTCTGGTGGCGGAAGAGAGGAGAGCAGCCAGTGGGCTGGACAGGGCGCGAGGGGAGGGCGCCGCAAGGGGCGAGGGCTGAGGCCAGGACCTGGTGGGCTTTGCAAGGATCCGAGAAGCTGGAGGAGTAGGGCCCCGCGTTCCGGGTGGCGCACCTGGGCCAGGTGTTGTGGCCCCGCCCACATGCCGGAGGCCTTCCGCCGTCACGACACGCCCCTTTCAGCAGTGTCTCCTCCGGACGCCTCCGAGCTCCGAGTGGGGTCCCGCCCGCGCGGCGGGCGCCTGTTTGCACCAGGGTGATAGGCGCAGTGGGAGCCGTGGCCCACACCCTGCCGGAGACGCACGTCTGAGTAGCGACCCCGAGCAGCACCCGGGTCGCACGTGGGGCGGGAGCCGCGCAAGCAGCGAGAGCTGGGTGGGGCGGGGCTTCCCCGGGTTCGCCCACGGGGCGGGGCCGGGCCCGGGGACCAATGGGGCGCGTGTGTGCTGGGGGTGGGTCAGGCTCCGGGCCTGGCATCCCGGTAGCCACAGCTGTCTTTCCGGCACCCTTGCCCCCTCCGCCAGTAGCGGACCCTCCGGCTCTCGGGGAATCACTCCTGAGCGGCTGCGTCCTCCGGTGGGTAAGTGAACGCCCTGCCACACCCGGGCGGTGAGGGTGCGCCTGGCCGGGGAGGAGCGAATCTCGGCCCCCTCCCGCCCGCCCCGGGAGAGAGTGGGCAGGAACCGGTGAGGGGAGGAGGACCACCTTGTGTCGCCGGACGGTGTTTTTGTTTTGGTCGTCGAGGAGTTGTTGGGGCGGTGGAGTTTGGGGGACGCCTGTGTGGGTGGGAGGAATCTGGTGAGATTAAGGAAAGAGGAGGCTGTTTGAGATGGGTTGAGGGAGAGTGTTGATGGAGGGTGGGGCTTTGGAAGATTCGGAAGTTTCTTATAGCCCGGGGATGAGGTGATTGCATGGAGGATCTTGGGGGGCGGCTCAGGACTCCGGAGGAGCGGGTGAGGAGGGCCTCCTGCCCATCACTCACTTCCCTTCTGGAGGATTTGCTTCCTCTTGCTCCGCTAGTTAAGAAGGCGGAGGATCTTTGCACCTTTCCAGAGCCACTGCCATCCCTAGTCTCAGGGATACGGGGGAAGGGGTGGCCTCAGGAGCTGGGAGGGGCCATGGTACCCACTGCTGAGGCTTAAGAGTCTGCCATTGTTGGCGCAGTGGCCGGGACCAGTCTGCCCTCCACTAACTCTTTGAGTTGTTGCTGAACGTGAGTGTGTCTGTGTGTGTGTTTCCTTTTTGGGGAAGCTTCTGGGTGTTTGGTTAGAGGTGTTTTGTGGGGGGCTCCACGGAGCTGCCTTCCACTCAGCAAACTCTTTGCAGGCTTCATAACCCATTGGCGGCTTCCTCTACCCGCTGTCGACCATGGCCAATGAGAACTCTCCTCTGCTGGCCTACCGGCTCCTGGGGGAGGAGGGGGTTTCCTTCCCTGCCAGTGGGGCCGGGGGTCCTGGAGGGGCGTCTGCCCGGAAGCTCTCCACCTTCCTGGGTGTGGTGGTACCCACGGTCCTGTCCATGTTCAGTATAGTTGTCTTCTTGAGGATTGGTGAGTGGCAGGGGTTTACTTGGGGGTGCAGTGGGGTGGGACTGGGATCAGGTTGGGGAAGGGCCCTGGGAGAAGCGGGTGGATGAAGGGCTTGGGGTGGGGTGGGGGGTGCAATGGGTGAGCCGCCATCTCACCTGCTTTGCCACTCCTGTCCCAGGGTTCGTGGTGGGCCATGCTGGGCTGCTGCAGGCTTTGGCCATGCTCCTGGTTGCCTACTTCATCCTGGCACTCACTGTCCTCTCCGTCTGTGCCATCGCTACCAATGGAGCTGTGCGAGGGGGCGGAGCCTACTGTATCCTCCAACGTCGGTGGACAGGGGTCTGGGCTCTTCTGTCTTATAGGGGGGTGGAGAGGGCCCCTCCCTGCATCCCCTGGGGGGTAGGACAAGAGGGGACAAGTTCTAATGAATGTCCAGCAGACAGGTTGGTATGGGGAAGGGGACAAACACGACCTGACACGTTAGTGCCACTTTCCAGTTCACCAGGTGTCTTCCCAGCTGCCATTTTGGTTCTACTTGACAGTCCTGTCAGGTAGTATTCATCTGATGGACGAGGAAATTCAAGAGCATTAGTGACTTGGGCAAAGCCACGTGGCTTGGGAGTGGCTGCAGTGGGACACACTGCCTCTGGGAACAGTCCTGTGTGTTCAGGGAGATGAGGCCTGGAGGGCCAGCTGCATGGTGCTTTGTGCCCGGGCCCTTCCTCACGCTCCAGTTCAGTTTCTTTTCCCTTAACGCTCACCCCCTGCTTCCACTTTCAGTCATGATCAGTCGCACCCTGGGGCCTGAGGTCGGGGGCAGCATCGGCCTCATGTTCTACCTGGCTAACGTCTGTGGCTGTGCTGTCTCTCTGTTGGGGCTGGTGGAGGCCATGCTTGATGTCTTCGGGGCTGGTGTGTGCTCCCCACCCTGGTCCGGGCAGCTCTGAGGATTTGCCGGGTCTGGGATTCTGGGATCATGGCAGGGAGAGAAGCCCTCTCCAGGAGAGATGCATAGTAGTCCTTTAGCTCAACTTTCTTGAGCTCCTGCTGTGTGCCTAGCCTCGTGCAGACATCCAGACATCCGAGAGAATGTCCTGGCCCGTGCGGAGCTTCCCATCTAGTCAGGGAGGCCAGATTAACACTCCTAAAATTGACAGAGCAAGATTGGTGGTACCCGCCAGGCAGGGCTAGGATGCTGGGGTACAGCTGGGTGGGGGAGTGGGAAAGATGGCCTCTCTGAGGACAGGTGGGCCAAAGATGGGGTCTCTTCCTGGGGGAAGAGGGTTGGGGTCCCTCCTTGGGGGTCTGGCTTTCTAACTCTGTTCCTTCCTCTCTACAGATGCCAAGGGGTCCAGCGGGCTCCGCGTCCTACCACAGGGCTACGGCTGGAACCTGCTCTACGGCTCCTTGCTGCTGGGCCTGGTGGGCGGGGTCTGTACCCTGGGGGCTGGCCTCTACGCCCGCGCCTCCTTCCTCACAT